GATTATCAAGAGTTGGTAATAGATTGCAAAATATTTTGACATTAAATGAAACTTGATTCATTCAAAAGAATTAAATATTAAGTCAAGTAATAACTTACCATTTCAGGTAATAGATTACTGAAACTTAGTTTTGTTGTGGAATTCGAAGTCCTCATTATGATAATTGATTACCAATTGAGGTAATAGATTACCATGATGACTTTTGAGTGAAAACAATTGATTTTGACATCGGGTTAATCGATAACCCTCCTTAGTAATCGATTACCTCTACATAAAATTGAGTTTTATGGTTGCTAAAGCTCGAGATAATCGATTATCATGTATGGTAATAGATTAACTCCATTCTAGAATCAATCTGATTTCAATTTTTAAAAGTCTAGTAATAGATTATCTTTATCGAAAATAGATTACAACTATTACTAAAAATAGATATCATATATACTCTGAAAAATGCTTTAGAAGAACATCATATCACATATTTTTCAAAAAGAATACAATAGTAAAAAATTGATTCAAGAAGATGAGTCCTTGAAAGAATTAGAAAGATTGTTGAGCTAATCGCTGAGGAAGATCATTCTACACATTAGGTGTATTCTTCTCAATTGATCGTTAGTCTTTGTTTTTACTTGCGGGTATGTTACTCTTTGAGATAGGGTATCTCAAGAAGAGTTAAGAGAAATCTTGAGATTGTTTTCTCTCAAGCGGGTTCTTATGTGGTGCAAGAATTCTGTGATTGTGAAATCTTGTGGAATCAAGATTGTGTGGTTTTCATTATGATTGTAATATTGCTTGTACATGGTGTGTGTAAAGAATATTATAGTGGAATGACTTGATTTAGTGGGGTGCTAAGTCAGAAATTGAATATAGGCCCTTGTATGGCTAAATCAATATAGACCATTGTGTATTTCTCTCTTAACCTGTATCTCTTGATATAATTCTTGTGAAAATTGTTAAAAAGAATTACAAGAAAAACGTTTATTGACATGTTATCAATTTTTGTTCATACTCAATTTATCATATAGCAATTTGGTAATAATAATAGAAAAAAGGTAATCATTAAAATCAATTTGGATTACAAATATTTGTTTCACTATGTGGTAAATCTCATAATTTGTATCTTTTAATGATTTGTAATCTAAATTTTGATTAATTGATATTGAGAAAAGAAAGAAAAGAATAAGAAAATTTTTAAGGATCATAGAAAGTCATCTAAGTGAAAAATATATTCAACCCCACCTTTTAGATTCGTGTTCTAACAGGACCAACAGATATTGGGTGGACTTGATGAACATATCCATTGTGTCCTCTCAATATGGGTAGTTTTCTCCATTAAAGGTTGGTAGCCTTGTAATAAAAGCTCCTTCAAACTGGTATTAACCTTCACTACTTCCCATTTTAGGATATTTTCCTTTAGGACGGTTAGATGTTCAATCTTGTTAAAGGCTGAGTTTTGATACCAAATTATGGAGAAAAGAAAGGCACTAAAAAAGGGATTAAATATTGTTAAAAAAAACTCAAATTTTTTTTATTGAACCAATGAAGTAGTTACAAAGCCTTACAAGTGTAGACAAGAGTTAAGAGAAAGGAACACATTGTGTTTTTATATTGGTTTGTTTTAACCATTGAGACTACATCCAGTTCTTGATCAAGTCAATTAAGTTTCACTATCTTTTACAAAGATATAAGTATTCTTTCACAAGTCACCTTTGGCTTAACCTAAATGTTCTTTGATTTGCCTCTTCAAGAAACTACCCAAGTATTCTTTGAACACAAAGTTTCTCTAGGTTTCAAAAACCAAATATTCTTTTACAATCAAGTCTCTTCAGGCTCAAACAAATAACACAAAGTTAAAGCTAGAAAATCACTTTGTTGTTTCGTCTTACTCTTAAGACGTGATACAAACAATTAAGTGCAAAGCTTTTACATTAAGAATGTATATAAATTTTTATGATTGTTGCTCTCTTCTTTCTTTTTAATCTTCAAGTTTCTTCATGTAGGTATTTCATGAAGATGACCATTGCAAATCCTTGAACATTTCTCACAGGTTTTCTTTGTCTATCTCCATCTCTATTCCTTGTGGAAGGATATGGCATCAGTACATTAAATGTGGGAAATAAATATATTTCACCAAATTATCATTTCTTATTTGATCAAGAAAGTTAAAAGGGGAGTTATTGCGTGTGTCATCCAGAAATGACTTTTTTTTTAGACTTCACATGTTTTAAGGAATTTGTTCGTCATTTCCCTAATGCAAAACATATTTGTGTTCCTTTTTGTATTATGAGTACCAAAGAAGCTTTTTATTCCTTTTGATCTATAAGAAATAACATAGACAAAGATAATTTTCTTATTAGAGATAATAAACGATATATATATTAAATGATTTTATCTTACAAATGCAGTAATTCTTCTGAGAGATTTAATGTCAAAGTAACCAATCATCTATACTATTAGTCTTATAACATGATTTGAAAAGCTTTTCTCTTGAAAAACATCTAAATTTGTTATCATAAAAACTTATATCATGAGGAATCCAAGATTGTGTTTTGACCTAATAGTCGCTTTGTCTATATGGAGACAAAATGCACCATCATAGTTGACCTTGATAAACTCCATGCGAGGAGGACTTAAAGGGAAAAACTCGAGGGAATTTCACAACAAGATGTTTTTATTTTGTGGGATCTCCCCTTACATAATTGTAGCGTATGAGAAATATTGACTTGAATACAATAATTGTGCAAAAAAGGTAGACACTAGAAAAAGGGGTTAAATAGTGTCAATCAAAAACTCACATTTTTTTTTCTTAAATAAGTAGTATCTTAACTTTAGTAGTGTAGATGAATAGATAAACAAGAATACCATAATGTGTTTTTATACTGGTTCATCTTAACAATCGAGACTATGTCCAATCCTTGATCAACTTAATCAAGTTTAACTATCTTTTACATAGATACAAGTATTCTTTCACAAGATACTTTTGAATCAACATAAGTTTTCTTTGACAAGCAATTACCCAAGTATTTTTGGAACATAAAGTCTCTTCAAACTTCAACAATGAAGTATTATTTTATAGTGAAGCCTCTTCAAACTCAAAGCAATAACACAAAATTAAAGTTGGAAAATCACTGTTATTTCATTTGACTATCAAGATGTGATTAAGGATGGCAAGTAAATATGTATTCGTGAGTAATGCTTGAACCCGTCCCGACTTTGATGGAAAATACCTGATTTGATCAGACACGAGTACAGATAATATCCAATTCATTAAACTGAGTACGAGAACGAGGATGGGTATATACATACTCGTCCTGTACCCATACCCGCTTAAAATTTATAAATATTTAATCTAATTTTTTAGAATTTACTTAAAATTTATATAATTTCCTACTCTATTTTTAATTTATGTCAAATAAAGTTTAATTAATATAATTTTGTAATTATTATTTTATACTGAAATTCTTATTTTATATATTTTTTTGCAAAAAATAATATTTAATTAATTTTGAACGGGTACAGAGTGAGTACGGATATACTCGATATCCAACAGATGTAAGGATGAGGACACAAATTTCATACCCGTCAGATATGGGGACGGAGATAGGTATAGGTTATGGGAATGGAGATAGGGTGGATATAGAGAAACCCGCACTCGGCTTGCTCCACCCTATTGTCATCCCTGGATGTGATACAACTAATTAAATACAAAGCTTTTATAAAGAGAATGTATATAAATTTTGTGAATTGTTATTCTCTTCTTTCTAGTGAATCTTCAAGCTTCATTTGCCATGAGATGATCATTGTTGTTCAAGTAGACTTCATGAACTCTTAGGGTTCCTAAAAGTTCATCCAAAGTGAGAGTCTTGAGATCGCATGCTTTTGATATGGCAACGACCTTTGGTTCCTTGATCTTTGAAAGGTTATTCAAAATCTCGAGATTGTTATGAGTTTTGGAGAACTCAATTTCCAAGAATTTCAACCCATTAAGAATTGTTTAAAATCTTTCAAATATTTCATCTGTGATTTCTTTTTCCTTCATAAATAACAACTCATACTACCTCTGAAGAGTTACAACTTATTTGAGCCTAATGTCTTTAGTACCTACATGAGTTAATCTAATAACTTCCCATATTTCCTTAACAATTTTGTAGTTACAAAATTTGTTATGTCCTATTCTAGACAAAGAGTAGGCCAAGATATATCTTATTTTGGTGTTGAGTTGCAAGATATTATAGTCTTCTTCTGTATACTCATTTTCTGGCTTGATAACTGCAACATCACTTCCTATGATGATCTTCCAAAGATGATATTAAATAGATTTGATGAACATTTCTATCATGTCCTTCCAATATGAATAATTTTCTCCATTAAAGACCAAAAACTTGGTAAGAGAAACTCCCTTAAATAAATATTGTTCTTCACTACATCTCATCTCAAAATCTTTTCTTTTATCACGGTTAGATGCTCAAATTCCATAATAAAATTGAACACTAATACCAAATTGTGAAGACTTCCTGCACTTGCCAAAATATCAACATTAAACAATATGAATGCTTATGAATGCACTACAAGAGGCCTAGGTTGAAGTCAGAACCAAATCTTAAGAAAATGAACCAAGCCTAATTTCTAGTTGGACCAATCAGACTAAGCTGAGTTGTTCAGCTAAAGTACAGATAATAATTACAGCCAGTGTTGTAAAAATAGGTTCGGTAACCGAGAGCACGAACAAAACAGTTGGGTTATTGGTTCTTGCATGTAATCAACCCAGATCAACCCGGATAAAACCAGCCAATTTTCACAAAAAAGTAGTAGAACCGGTCCGGGTTACATGTTTAATTTTTAAAATAATGAAAATTTAAAACATACATTTTGTTACAAAGAGCGACTCAATCCTTGTCCCACCAAATTAAGGTAAAAACATTCCAAGAACCTCGAGTATTCCTATTACTACAGTAATCTCCAGAAAAATCTTGGAAACTTTAAGTCGTTATCCAAAGCTTGAGTGCATCCAGATTTTTGTTTGTATTTGATAGTTTTCGACAATGTGATCCACATGACACTTTAAACATCTGGTAAAATCAATAATAACTCACAGGAAAATATTACAAAATTTACGGTTCCCGCCAGAAGATAAGTGTCAATGTAAACCCAAGCTTTAAAAGCAAGAACAATCCCAGATTTAGCTTAAGTTCTTTCTAATTCTCCACTTGATGAGTAGGAGCACAAGGGTTAAACAACACAAGCCCAGGTTTCTGAGTTATACCCACGTCCCTTCACAGCTCACCTTAGTAAACACAGGCAACTATTGCAGCGCCCGTCAACTCAAATTTATATTTACAACACGAAAAGGTGAGGAATTAATAATGGGCCCTTTCATCATTTTCTAATTGCAAACCTTCAATGCCCTTGACTGCAGTTTCATAATTCTTGACATGAGAAGCATTTCTCGCAGGTGCTATTCTGCGCGCTGTTCCGGGGTTAGCTTCAGTACCAACAAATGCATCACGGCTACTAGAAACAGCAACTCGTCTTGATGATCCAGTTGGCTGACCCAAGATATGATTTGATATCACATGTTACACATTCATAATCAGCGAGTTAAGAATCATGATCTGATTTTTAAAAAGGAAAACAACTTACCAAGGCTTCCTTACTGACGGCAGCATCCGCAGAGAATGGATTTTTCTGCTTTGAAATATTTACAGAATTTGAAATGTGCCCAGACATTCTTCGCCTTGTGGAATCCACTGAAACCAGACCAGGAGGTCGCCCTTCTTCTCCTGTGAGAACAAGGACGGGGGGTTAGCAGCAATAAGCTTGAGCTAAACTTGGAGGAATAAGAAAAAAAGCTATTAGAGAAACTGCATTAACTAGTTTTTTTTATTCATTAGAAAAATTATAAAATGGCAATAAAGATCGAACTTAGATCTACACATCTAAATCAATCACTTTCCCCTAGGCTAACCCTAGTGGTCTACCTACATTAGCTAGTTACCAAAAAATAAAGACAATAAGAGCAACAACAGTGAGGGAGCAAAAAATAATTATTTTTGCAGCATTGATTAAATAAAATTGTATTTAATTTTAAAATAGAAGAAAAGGCTAGATCAGTCACACCAAGAGTATCATGGATTAGACTTGAATCAATATACTAAATAGAGCATACACTCATGTATTACTATGGATTAGACTTGAATATACCGTGGACTAGATCACATCAAGAACTTTAAGCTAGACATTCAAATACCATGGGGATTAGACTTGAATATTCTAAAGAAAGCATACACATGTGTAGCACACTAACCAAACTTCAGCATCATAAAGAAACATACAGACAGTGAAGAAATTACCTGTCTGTCTATCAGCATTAGTTGCAGCTGGAGGCATTGCCGAACTAGTTCCAGCACTAGGACCCTAAATACAAGCATCTTGCCCTCTTAGAATTCTATCCATGGCTGAAGTGAAATTCCGGAAAGGAAAAAAATCATGAGTAACGAAAACTACTTACAATGGCTCGTGCTGGAGGAGCAGCTAGCTGTGATTGCTGATACTTCAAGATTGTCCAATCAAAGACATAATCAAACTGGAATCCTGTCCACATGCCGATGCAAAGAGCAAATATACCGCATGGTCTTTTCATAGATTGTAAAGAAAATCATACAATAAAGTATATACATGATAAACTCGAGCACTTAGACAAAAGTGATGCACTTTATATGAGATTAATTTCACACCTTCACGAATAAACAGGTCTCGAAATATTCTTTTGAGGTAAGCATAATCTGGCCTATCATCAAACCTTAATGAGCGGCAGTAATGGAAGTATGATGCAAATTCTGTTGGATAACCTCGACACAAGGCCTGGAATAATCAATAATTTATCAGTATAATTCAAGAAATAATGCAACATATGAATTCAAGGAGGCCAATAAAACAATACTAACCTCAATCGAGGTAGAAACCTTTTTTTCACTGATTCTATCGTACTTCTGTTTCTTGGTTCCTGCTTTAAGTCCTTGCCAAGGGAGACTGCATATAAAATGCATATCAGGTCAAAGACATTCAACACAGTACCTGAAGAAAAAAGGCAGGGTACATGGCAATAATCACCTTCCTCTCAAGAAATACATCAAGACAAAACCAAGAGACTCCAAATCATCTCTTCTACTTTGCTCTGTGCATTGATCATTAAAGTAGTTTCAAGCAACATTCATCTGTTAGATGGCATAACTTTGCCACACACTAAAAAATTGCCAGGTAAGAATCACAGTAAAATTACATACCAATGCCAAGGTGGGTATTCATACTCGCATATCTAGCAGTCCCAGTTAAATTCTTGTTTTCCCTGCAGTTTCAATGATCAAATAGATTACATATAGCATTTATAAATTATATTAATACAAAACAGCACTAGCCAAGCGTGGGCTACATAAACATAAAATCAAGCAGACATGGATGCAACATCACTAACAAGAATCACCACCTTAATCTAGAACCACAAAACTAGGATGTTATCGCAAGCAAGAAACCACTCTACACATGATTAAATTTAGACCACTTCTCACCACCTACCCAATCAGGAAAATTAAACAATGGTATCAGTGCAAAATAAAAAATTGTCAACAAATTATAAAGGAAGATGGGCATTAAGCATGAAACTGCAGATATTCAAGTTTTGGAAACTTGACAGATTCTGCATGGAAAGGAAGAATCATAATTTCAGTAAAGGACGAGAATTGAATTCCTATTTACATTATTCAAGAAGAGTATTCAATTATTAGGAGACACAGTATTCTTGAGTATTAGTTTAACATCAAAGTGTATTTGTTTTATAACTTATTTTGGAGAAATAATTGTTTGTTTTATCAGCCTCTTGAGAGAAATTTTGAAGAAAAAAAATTGTTTATTTCTAAGAAATAAATTCTTTTCAAAAGTTAGGGTATTTTCGATTTTTTGCAAACCGCTCCACACTCTCAGCACCAACCCACGATCGTGCAAGCCGCTTCACCATTTTAATGCCTGCTCCATCTGCTCCAGTGAAACGCCACACGACAGCATCACTGTAGCTTCAGTGTTTGATAATGCAAAATTATGCTCTCAAAAAATCAAATGAATACACCCTCCCTAAGGCAAATACATTTCCTAAACTTTTCTCATATGAAGATTGGGATTGAAATGAAAAGTTACAATATCAAAATTAAGTCATCAATTCCAGTAGGAAACAAGGTCTATCAACACTCTACAAGAATAATGTAGATTAGTAACTGAATCCATGCACCTGTAAGGAATGTGTTGATGGGTTGAACTATCTCTGTATTTCTTTGCCAAACCGAAATCAATACAGTAAACCTACATGTAGATCCAAATGGAGTAAATGCCTAGTACATTAACATACAATACATCAAAAGCTATCATTTAAACAAGATCAGCCACCTGGTTTGCCCGCCTTCCCAAGCCCATGAGGAAATTATCTGGTTTAATATCCCGATGTAGAAACGATTTAGTATGAACAAACTCAACGCGGTTGAGCTGACAAAGAAACAAAATACAAGTAGTTACTATTAGTTTATTAGTTAGCCAAGTAGTTAGTTCTAATCAACTGCATGAATAGAACCTAGAGGACCTAAATGAATCATTAATTAATAGTATCATATGAATGAAATAGTTCATTGGAATTTTCTCTCCACTCAAAAGAAGGGGAAGGGCTACCATTTGATCAGCAAGCATGAGAACTGTCTTTAGTGAGAGCTTTCTACTGCAGAAGTTAAATAGATCTTCAAGACTAGGTCCAAGCAGATCCATCACTAGAACATTGTAATCTCCCTCCACTCCGAACCATCTAACATCCGGAATTCCAGCTGCCAATACCAAATTTGTGTCAGAACTGTTTATAAATATCAATAAGAATAAAAGATCAATTACTAAAAGCAGGGATCATTGCTAAATATGCAAATAAAAGAAAGACAAAAACAATTAATATGAGAAGAGACTTTACTTCCTCCCTGGAGAACTCTGTACAATTTGGACTCATAAAGCAACTGAGGATGCTTTGTCTTGACATTTTCCTAATATAAAAGATCAAGAAGCAGCAAAGAACAGGAACAAGAGAGGGGGGAAACAAAAAAAAAAGGAAAATCAGCTCTGGGAAACTCAGAAATCCAGAATCTAGTAATTACCTAAGACAAAACAGAAGTCCAACATGACCAGCAAAATCCAAGTAGAGACCAAAGCAGAAATGTATATTGTTCTACTTTAACAGTAAATACCACAGATGGTATAAATAATAAATTTACCGATGATTCACTTCACAAGTAATTTTGCTCTTTGCAGTTTAAAGGATTCTCTTTCACAGACTAACAATTGTTCCTCATCATTAAATTATTCTACACAATATACACTCTAGACAAAGTAAAATTAATAGAAAATAACAATTGAAGGAAAAAGAACAGTAAATAATTCCTATATCAAAAAAACAGGAGCTAAGAGGCTTAATTTGTAGATGATTATGATTATGAACTTAAACTTAAGAGTAAAATGGACCAATTATAACTTATAAACCTCTCTAGAATTTAATCTCTTCTAAAAAAAAAATTATTTCTTAATGAGCATTGGATACTAAATTTCCTGGCAGGCAGCTAATACTTAATAACAGTACATAGGGAATATTTCAACTTTCAAGCTGTAACCAAACCCCCTACCCCAAATCTTTGGACCATGAGTCAATCAAATTGAACTCTTTCATTGATCTGGCAAAAAAGCATGCTAGAAAGCTCAATTAATATGCATTTTTCTCTCATGATACATCACATGCATAATTATTTTAAGGCAACACATGAAATGAATGAAATCTTCGTCACAAATTAGAATCATACATGTCATAGAAGGTGATGAGCAATGCTGGCCACATAATCATATCATACAACAACAACAACAAAAGCCTTTTCCCACAGAGATTAGCTACATGGATGACATTCTCATTCAGCTCGGCTAAAGACCGGATTTTTTTAGATATAATTTACTATGAGGTCCCTCTTAACAATTTCCCATAATGTAGTTCTTGGTCTCCCTCTCCCTCTTCTCATAGGACTAAAAAACACATGCAATCACACTAAAAAGAATAATGATATTCTATAATCTGAACCACTCAATAATTAAAAAATAAAAATCCATTCCTTATTTAAAAAGATAACATTATGCGTGAAAAACACTAGCTTTTGACAGCCATCGTGATGTAAGGAAAAGTACATCGATCAGAAGAATTCCCATTCCTATGCCTAAATTTATACAATTCCAGCTCATTTTTACAGCTAAAAGGAATTGAACTAGCATTCCAACCAGTTCAGAAATGTTATAACAAGCAGGATGACAAACCTACAATTTTTTAATTCTGCTTTTGAACAAGAGCAGACAGATTACTTTAATCATCGCGAATCTACTACATAACAACAAAATTCTCGCTCACACCCCATAAAGATTGGTGACTAAACAGTGAAAAATGTCTCTCATGAGAACCCTTTAACCCTCCACCCTGTCCCCTCCCACAAAAACGTAAACAATAAGCTCAGTGAAAGAAGACACAGTCACAGACACCCATAACGGAACCACACACCAATCAATGACATTAAGTACGCCAGGACAAAATCCAGCCTGAAAATAATTTTAACAACCCGTTGCAAAAACCGACTTCACATGAAACCCCCATTCCCAGACCAGTTTCACATAACTCATGGCTACAAAACTGGCAAATTGTCCTCTCCTTCAGACTTTAAATACAAAAAACAAAACACTCAAATTCTATTAATTCTAAATTCAATACAATCCAAAACCTAATTGATTAAAAGCACTTACAAGCTTAATTGCAACCTCTTCATTAGTTTGAATATTAGTACCTGCACAATCAAAAAACAAAAAAAAAAAAACAAAATAACTCATCATCCTCGACAATAACACACGCAAATTACAAATAACCGCTGAAAAATCAAAAGAATAACAACGATTACAACAACGGAAGCAAAATAAAGCAACCTAAATAGATCTCTCCAAACGATCCGCTACCGATCTTACGGCCAAGCCGAAACTTATTCCCAACGCGAGGTTCCATTCGAAAAACAAAATTCTTTAGAGAGAGAGAGAATTTTTTCGAAACCCTAAGCTAATCCCATTGCCGAATTCGGAAAGAGGGTAACATTTAATGCGAAAAGTTCTACGAATGCGTTCATCGATCAGATAAAAAAACAGAAATGAAAAGGAAAATGCAGCTCCAACAGAAAAACACAAAATAATATAATGAAAAATGAATAATAAAAAGAATGAGAAATAATTTGAGTGGGAGAGAAGATAATTGTGTTAAGAGAGAAAATAATTGTGATGTTCTCTCTCATGCATTGTGGTTTGGATTTGGAAGAAAGAATATTCTTGTAACCGTCGGTTATTTTGATGTGTTGATTGAAAGAGCAAATATATTATATATACGACGGACACGCCACGAAGTTTTCACCGAGTTCTCACTCGTCACTGGGCTCCACGTCACGTGACTTTTATCCACTATGTCATCTAATAACCAACATATCACCTCTTTTGTATACTCTTTATCTTCTCTTCTATAAGAAAAATATATTTTTTAATAATACTTTTTCCATTTTTTTATGTTTAAAATTTATGTACAAAAATTAAAAATATAATTGATTTTAATTTTTTTAAATATTTATTTTTTATTTTTTATTATATTTTTTAGATAATTAAAAAAAAATAGATACATTAAAAATAAATAAACACATCATTCAATTAATACATACTAAATATTAACGATAAAAATGAAAAAAAAAATTAATAAATTATTGATATATAAAAGTAATAATGAAAAAAGATAAATAAATAATATAAAACGACTGTGAATGAAAAATAGATATAATATTTAATTATAGTGAATTTTATAAATTTCATATATATATATATAAAAGAATAAGTCAGGTGAGTATAGAAATAAAAAGTGTAATTTAATTTAAATATTAATTATTACTTCTTTTACTTCATTTTATATTATATGATATTTTATTATATTAATTCAAATTAATGTCAAAAATATTTTTATCATTATTTCTTAATTTTAAAAATAATTTTCAAATTATTTTAAAAAAAATATTGTTGATTTATACAATAGTTGAAATTCAACATACATTATACATCATGATTTATTGAGTAAAATAGTTTTATCGAGAGTTACTCTTAAGGATGACAACGGATTGAAATGGGTACGAATTTCGCTATTCCCATCTTTGCTCTCATACTCTATACCCATCATTGCCTCTATATCCCACGGTGTGAAATTTGTGTATTCATCCCTATTCTCATAAGGTATCAGATATACTTATATTTATCCAAAAATTAATTAAATAATTTAAAAAAAAATATTAAAAAAATTAACATAAAATAACAATTAAAAAATTACATTAATTAAGTTTCATTCAACATAAATTTAAAATAGAATAAGAATTATATAAATGTCAAGTAAATTTTTTAAAAAATAAATAAAGTTTCTAGAAATTTAAAGCATATGAGTACAAGGTAGGTATGTTTAAACCAATCCTAGCCCCATACCCAATTTAATAAATTGAGTATTACCCATGGGTAGGGATGGGAATAGACGTGACCAAGACAGACTTTGAATATATAAGTTGAGCCTGTTCTACAAAATTAAAACATAAATCTAACTTATTATTTATCAAAACTTTTTTTATAGGTCTGAGTTGTCCTTTTCAAAGTCTAGCTTGGTCTTATAGTCTATTTAAAAACCTATTTAAAATATTAATGTTAATTAAGTCAATAAATTTAATTTTTAAAAATCAATAAAATTATTTTTAAAATATAGTTCACTCAAGATCATTAAAATTTAAATTTTAAAACAAATATAGGAGAAAAATTGAATCATTTTTTGTTGAAAGGACAATTCATACGTAGCCATATATGTTGAGGTACATTCATGCACAGGTCATACAAAAAATATTTTAAAGATTAATAATTTATTTTTGTGTTTATAAATTTATTTATTTATTTATATTTTTAATAATATATATTAATTTTTAGTATATTATATAAATAAATAGACTGATCAAACAATTTTTTCTATAAACTTAAACTTGGTCTTTTTATATAAATAGACTTTTTTAAATGTCTAAACTTATCTTTTTATTAAACAAGTCAAGTCAGAACAGACTTTAAAAACGTCAGGCCATAAGTCCCTATTTAAGATTTGACTTATTTCCATCCCTATTCACGAGTACGAATTTACTTGTCATTCTTGCCCCTTATATATATATATATATATATATAGAGAGAGAGAGAGAGAGAGAGAGGGGAGGTTCAAACAACATCGGTGTAACTTTTACTAAGTGTTACACTGTTCAATAATTTTATATTAAATATAAATTTTGTAAATCTAACCGTTAGATTGAAAGTTTTTTACTCTTAGATCATATATATAAAATTTTATATTAATACAAGATGATTTGATACTCCATTCTTATAAAACAAAATTGATGTAATATATTCATTTTAAAATACACTAAAATATGAATACTTTGATTATCTTCAAGTTGTTGTTAAATTTTAACAAAATTTTATATATACATATAAAGTGATATGAATTTTCAATCTAACGGTTGAATTTATAAAATTCACATTTAATATAAAGTTATTGAGCGGTGTAATACTTAGTAAAAGTTACCGCGGATATATATATGAAGAGGGTTCAAACGACACCGCTGTAACTTTTACTAAGTATTACACCGCTCAATAACTTTATATTAAATGTGAATTTTGTAAATCCAACCGTTAGATTGAAAATTCATATCACTTTATACGTGTATATCAAATTTTTTTAAAATTGAACAACAATTTGAAGGTAATCAAAGTGTTCATATTTTAGTATATTTTAAAATAAATATATTACGTCAATTTTATTTTATAAAAATGAAATATCAAATCATCTTGGATTAATATAAAATTTTATATATATGATCTAAGAGATATGAACTTTCAATCTAACGATTGGATTTACAAAAGTCACATTTAATATAAAGTTATTGAACAGTGTAACACTTAATAAAAGTTAATATATATATATATATATATATATATATTACTCTTAGTCTCTTTTTATATTTAATTATGTAATTTTAGTCTTTCATTTTTTTTAAAAAAAAGGTATAATTTTAGCCCAAATATCAAATTTGTATACATTAATTGTTTAAATAAAAAAAATTGCTTAAGCAAAAAATAGGATTTTAATGTATCTCATGTTATCTTGCTACTGCATGCATGTGACACTAATGACAATTATCTCATGTTAATAATTAGTAACGCTTATATACATTGATCCTTGAATTTGAAGATTAGGATCGATTTAGGTCATGTCATACTTGTTGATATACGATCGATTCATGTGTATTCTCTTAATTTTGTAAAAAAAAATGATCCTTTCTCATGAGAGGTCAAATTACCTTAAGGAGGGATTTGACACACAAATTTTTTTTATTTTCCTAAGAATCTCAACTTGGAAATCTTGGTTTTCCATATATGGTAGCTGTTTAAAAAAATATTTCCAAGAATATAATTTCTTGAAAACCATTTTTATCTCACTTTCTCGCAAAAATATTTTCATGGGAGGTGGGAATCTAATTTTCTCGAATTATGAGAAAAGTTTTATGTATATAAAAAGACCATAATATCCTTTTTTAAAATAAAAAATCTTTCTCTCCTTTTATTTCTCTTTTTCTCTATCACTTTCATTCCCCTTCTATTATTCTTTAACTCCCTCTCCCTCCTTCCCTCCCTCTCTTTCTCTCTCTCTCTCTCTCTCTCTTTCTCTCTCTCTCTCTCTTTCTATTTCGCTTTCTCCTTATCAAAGAAAAATTAAAGAAAGGTCTCATCCAACCCCTTCTTATTTCCACCACTAAGTCCTCAATCTTTCAAGAATATTTGTTTCAAGTTAATTAGATCTCATCAATGTATTTGTTCTTCAACTTGCAGGCTATCAAAGGTTATGGATAAAGCCTTCTAGAAGAAAGCTAATACCACCTCATCAATTCTATTATTTTTTCTGATTCATCAATTTAGTTATTTTTTCCAAAAGCTAATACTACCTCCTCAATTTTGTTATTTTGTCTTTTTTGATAGAATCAAATTGTAATTTTTATTTTGATTCTTGTAGATATTTTTGTGCAGATATCTTTTTTTTATATTGGATTTATTGTTTTGTCATATTCTTTTGATTAGTCCTAAAATAACTATTTCTTATATATATACATAAAATTTGTATTGTTTTTAATAATTGAGAAATATTCATTCTCTTTTGTTTCTCTCAATCATCTTCTTTTCCTTATAATAAAAGTTAAAAGTGTATTATAGAATACCTAACCTAGTCTAGAAAGATATGTTTTATATTTGACTTACAAAAAAGAAAACAGGGCCGACCCAAGCATAAGGTAGCCTAAGCCTTAGCTTTAGACCCCCCAAATATTTTTTTTAATTATAGAACTTAATGAATTAGTTGTATCAATACTAACTTTAGTTTGTTGGTCGTTGTCTAAGCCTAACATTGTAAGGACTTGGGTTTGAATCCTAGTATTGTAATTTTTTGTTGAAATTTTTTTCTTTTATGGGTGACTATTGATTTTCTTGCCCCAAATTATCAATGTTACTAACTCACTATATTCTTCATCTTCTCTCCCTACCTCTTTCCCTCTGTCTTTTTTCAACCCCTCTCTTGATAATGTCATTCGCCTTATTACCTCAATTATAACACAGAAACATTCTTACAATATTATAACACAGAAACACAGTAAGGGAATTTCCAAAACTGCCAAAGGTATTCAAATAATTCACTATTTTATTTTTTTTATTATTTCAACCATTTATTTAAATTATTAGAATTAATTTTACAATTTATTAGAATCATTATGTTGTCTTTATATCTTACATAATTTACGTTTAGTTTACTAAGTTTAGATAATTAGATTAGGTTTCAACTTTCAAGTTTGATACTACGTAAGTTTTACAAATTGTTATTGAAATAATATCATTTTATAAATGTCTCGATATAGGTTGAGTGGATCAACAACAATTTCTTTTTGGTAGGAGCAACACCCTAAAGAACCTTTTATGTGAAATAATCTATTGTCAAACAGGTTTTATTGTTCTAACATTCTCTCTTTATTTATAATATTTTGAGTTAATATTTTATATATGGATATATTGTGATAGCATTGTTTTTTATTTTGAAATATATAAATGTGAAGATGTCAACTAGGAAATATGAATCAGGTTATTCAAAACTAAAGAGAGATAGAGAGAGAGAGAGAGAGAGAGAAGAGTTGAAGCTTTAATTGAATCTCAAAGTAGAGCTATAGATAAATTTTTCAAAAC